TAAAGATTGCAAAGAACATCACTGAACAGACTAACAAGACTGCAGATGGTGAGACTTTTTGATGTCTTTAACTGTCAAAATAAGGAGAGTAAATAGTGGTGGGGACATGTATTGTAGTTGCTGTAAAAATAAAGGATGTTAGCAACGATAACCTGTAATTTTGTGGTTTTAAAAGAAATCCATTTTCTTTTAGGTCTCCTAAACGTTTCCCACCAAGTTTCAGAATTAAGGTTCTTATTAAATAATTAATTGAAAATAAAAAGAACAAAAAGAAAAAAAAAGTTACTTAGTCGATCACAAATGAAAAATTATTTTACAGAAGTCGTCCATCTGTTTTAGAAACTTTTGTATTCTTCCAAAACCAGGAACACAAAACAACAGAAAAGTCACAAAATGACATTGTTGTGCAGATAAAATATAACATGTTTCAATGAGTTGTGTTAGAGTTTAGCAGTAATTTAAAGAAATGTCAAGTATTCTTACGCCAGTATCATCGTCTTTGGGAGCGAACAGCTTTGAGCAGAGAGTTTGGGACCTCCCAGTCACCTCTCCACAAGGGTGCAGAACCCTCTCATTTTAGGTTTTCTGCAGCACTGGGATTAAAGGTATTACAGAAATACAAGTAAATGCTATGATTTCCTCCAAAACTGAAGCTTGTGTCCATGTCTCTGCCCTAAATCTGCATTTTGTTCTACTCAAGATCATTGACTGAATATTTTCTCTTTGCACTGTTACAACCAGCTCACAGGTCTTAACAATGGTGTGTGGTGTGTGGTTAGCACCATTGCCTCACAGCAAGAAAGTCCTGGGTTTGAAGCCACTGGCCAGCTGAGGTCAGCAAACTTTGCCCATCTACTCACGTGCATGACAATAACCTGTCATGACAATAAGTCAAAAAATGAAAATAAATAGATAAAATGAATAACCAATATAACTTCATAAGGACATACCTAATAGAGACTATCATCCAGCATATTGGAAACAGTTCAGTTCAGTTATAACAGTGGATATGAAAAAAGATTAATGTCCCTTAAAAAAGGAGAAAGAATGAGTAGATGAAACGTGCTGCCAATCAGCTGATCAGTTTGGTCAGAAAGGCAAGCTTATACAGTCATATCATTATTGCAGTCCCATGGTAGGCACTCTGCTGCCCTCTACTGTCCACAGTGGTACACATTTACTTGAAACACCAAATTTGGAGGACTTGGTGAAACTCATAACACAAAAGTGTAAAATCTGTTTTTTCGAATGAATTAAATTAAAAGGATCTTATTTTCACACTAAATACAACAAAGGCTAATAGGCTAATAGCTTTGGAGGGCGTGAAGATGAGGCCACTGCAGTGCAGCAGCCCCCATGAAGCAGCAGGCCAGAATAATATAAGAGAGTGTGCTCATAAACTCAGATAACATCTCACTCTCCCAGGCTTTGGTGCCAGTGTGCCTTAAGACATGTACGATGATTGCAGCAGTAAAAAGCATGAATGGCTATCATCCGTTAGCTCTGAACCTGATAGTCATGGCCCACTTACAGAACAACATCAACACAGGAGAAAGCCACAAACCCGCTCTGCTATTCATGGAAGCAGCAGAGGTGGAACCACAGAACCACAAAATCACTGGTAACGACTGCTAACACCATTTGTTTTTAAAGCCACTAAAATCAACGTCCTCGCCACTTCTGATTCTCCTTATTGCTCCTTTTTTCAGTGTTTGCTTTCATTTTGCTGTAGTTGGTCCAGTGTCAGTCTCTTACTTTCACTGTCTGTCTCTGTCTTAATTGACAGGATCTCTTTTTCTGAACATAACAAACCAAGTCCTTTGGTTCAGGTGGGTTTAAAAAACATCACAATGTGTTCAGTGATGATGTGCACTGAAGTGGCTCAGTGTGATGATGGCTTCCTAAAACAGATGTGAAGATCTGAAAAGCAGAAATGAGGTGCAGAAGTTGTTGCTCGGCTCAGTTTCATATTCAGGGTGTGGTGAAGTTATTCAGTCCACACAAACAGTGTTACTCACACTTTGGATCTTACTTCTGTTGTTTCTGTAACCTGCTGTGTTTACACCTGCATTTGTGTAGCGTTTGCATGGATACGGTTTGTCAGCTGCCATTTTCTTCTTCTTCTTTTCTTTTTTCTTCTTCTCTTCTTTCTCAGAGAGGCCCACAGCCATTCATGCAGTTATCCTTATATACATGTCTTTGGACTGGGGGAGAAAGACTGAGTATCTTGAGGGAACCCACACACACACAGGACCAGGAAGAAGAAGATGGGAAACTCCACAGCGGAAGAACTCAACTGACCATCAGCTTCAAACAAGAAACTGTTGTGTCACTCTCACGGTTTTTTCAGTACTTATCAATTATTTGGGAGAATGAGGAGAACACAATAACACAATAAATAGTAGATATAAAAAATTTTGACTATAAAAACATTCACAGAAACCCAACTATAAACTAGAAGGTCAGTGTTTGCACAGCACAACCTGCAGCTGAATCCAGTGCCACCTAATAACTTTAATTCTACTGTGAACACCCGATATATATATTTTGAAGGTTGCTGCTCAGTAAATGTTAAAAACAAGCCTCTACTGGTTGAATGAGTCATGGTTTCAACAAATGCAGACATTTCAGTATTCAGTATAAAACTGGAAAGAAAAAGTGTTTATGAAGTGTAGTGGGAATAAAGAATGACTCCTAATAACACGTCTGTGTCATTGTGACCCTGTTTTCTGTGTGATCACGGAACTGAAAGAGGCAACTTTTAACCCACCGTTAAACACTCGACTGAAACTATGAAGGAGAAAATAAGTGACTTTTAATGAACTGACTCCATATCAGTATACGTTTATTCATATTTAAATGGTAAATGTAGAATAGAATAGAATAGAATAGACCTTTATTGTCATTGTACATGTGCAACGAAATTATGGGTGATCCAAGCCAGCTGTGCAGGAATAAATAACAAAGAGGAGAAATACATACGATAAAGATGTATTTCTGTATGTAAGTAAATGTATGGTTAGTGAAGACCCGGAAACTGTGTAAGGAAAGGAATAGCATTCAACACAATCCGAACAGAGTGCTGCACATGCAATAACTAACTGTAACAACTGTGGAGGAAGCCACATGGCAAAAAGAGATAAATGCCCAGCATATGGCAGTAATGTCATAAATGCAAAAAATGGAATCACTTCCAGAAATGCTGCAAGTCATCACAAACAAGGGGATTTAAAAAGAGATCTGTAAACAGTGTTGAGATGCAAGCGCCCAGCAGTGATGAGGAAATGTTCTTTGTGAATGGGGTCAATGTAGACTCTGTGAATCCCTGTTTTCTGTATAGGAATGACATATTCACCGCTGTGCATATTAATAGAAAACCAATAGAGCGGCGCTAAATGTAATGACATTCCAGCCGTTCTTTTTGTACAACTGAAACAAGATGGAAAACTTCTGCCATCACAGAAAACCAAACTGGAGGCATATGGAGGTGAGGAAATCAAACAGCTGGCACAGCTGGCACAGCTGGCACAGCTGGCACAGCTAAACGCTCGTGTCACTCTGGAGACAAGGAATACCCTCTGCAATTCTTTGTAGTGGATCAAGATGTACAACCTCTACTCTAAAATTCAGATGACATTAGACTGCATTGATCAAAGAGATTTAAATAAAGCTCTGAAACGCCTGCATCACCCTATGCGTACCATAGAGGCAGTGGGTGCACAAATGCCTAACTTCACAGTCTTTTCTGTCCTGGATGTGAAATGCTCCTCTTGGCAGATAACGCTTGACTTCAAGTCATCCATGCTCACAACTTTCAACTCTCCATTTTCTGCTTTCTCAGAATGTCATATGGAATCAACTCAGCCAGTGAGGTGTTCCAGAGTGCAGTAGAGCAGATCTTTGCTGGATACCCCTGTGCTGTCATCGTTGACGACATAATCACTGGTGGAAGAGATATGAAAGAGCATTAACAGAATCTCAGAATGGTACTCAACCGTGCGAGGGAAGTCAGACTGGGACTTAACCCCCTAAAGTGCAAATCCTACTCAAAGAAGCCTGTTATGTTGGACGTGTTTTCACAGGCAAAGGCTTAAAGCCTGATCCAGCGAAGACCAAAGCAATTAATGAGATGCCCACACATTAGAAAACGTCACAGCTCCAAATCTAAACTGATCATCAGCCATAGTCACAATCCTAAACAAGCCCATACAGTCAGCTCCAGCCAGACCGCAGCGTATGATGCTGACAGTTCAAAGGTACAACTTCCAGATGGTGTACAAAAAAGGCTTGTAGATGGCTGAACAGTCCTCTCAGCTGGCTGGCAGTTCTTACATTAGATGATCTGGGAGAGTTTGCAAGCCAAAACTCCACGTATGAACACTAAGGCGTAGAAGATGGACTGTTTAAAAATGCTATTGCTATTCGTGGAAACTACATGTAACTTGATGATGACAAAGTGAAATGCTGATTATGTTCTTACCAGTGAAAGAGTTTCAGGTTTGAAGTGAATGATTATTTTCAAGCTATAATGCTATAAACTAGAATCTATTGTTAATACATTATGCTGAATATGTTGTTAGTCATTTATACAGTCCTAAGATAAAGAAAGAATATCTCACCAGTGTTATTGTAAAACGGGGGTTTCCCATATCTGTTCGAAGCAAATTGTGCACTGCGCATGCACCAGTAAAATGTCTAAGACGGGACTGTGCCGGGTCCCCAGCCCTGAGTCAAGCTGTTTGCATGTAATGTCTCCTCAGTTACAGTAAATGCTTACAAAGAATCACGAATCCAGCGTTTTTACTAAAGATCAAACAGTTAGAATAACAATACTAAGAATCGGTCAAATATAATGATGCGGTGAATTCACTGGCTTTATAAAAGCCCAGAACATTCTTTAGTGAAATTACTTAATACATAATTTAAAAACTGTATTGTATTGTGAAAGCACCAGACTTCCGGTTCAATCCGAAAGTAAAGGTGGATTCATTGTGGGAAGGGCGATAAACTAGTGCAAGGTGAAGGTCTGTTCATCTGTTTTCTTCCTCTCGGTCACTTTAACCTGGTTCTTCGGTCTGTCAGATTAAACTGGAGTCGTCCAGGAGGATGAGGATAACCGTGCTGCTTGTCTCCCTCCTGTTCGGTAACATCACCTTTATTCCGCTTTCTGTTTCTGTCAGTTTGATCAGTCAACAGTTGAAATACTCACTTGGCGCACACACGCACCGAGTGTGGCGATTCTTCACGTCCAGTTCACGTTATTTCACCACAGTAACAACTTAAGATTACTCAGATATAACTTGTTAAAATGCCAGTATGAAGTTAAGAACATGAAGTCGTCTGTGTGAGCATCTGTATCAGTTCTTAATCGCTGCTTTCGGCTCCCTCCCGTGTGCGTGTTTTCTTACGTTTTTCATTCTTTCCTCATTACCTCTCTGTCTCTCTGTCATCCCTCTCCCTCACTTACAGTTGGGTAAATATTTAAATTCCACCGCTTTTCACAGAGATATCAACACAGGTATAACTGATAGCTCAGGTGGAAGCAGGACTGCTCTGCGTTCAAATATGGGTTGATTACTTGCGCAGAGTGCAGAAGAACAAAACATGATCTGCGTCGGACACATCCGCATTACACAGTAACTGTGTCATTTGGGTAAATACGCACATGCCAATGTACCGGTATTGTGCAGTGTCATACTGGGTATTTATTAAAGTCGGTAGCCTATTAAAATCCTGCCAGTCCACTGCTCGACTGCGTGCATGCATTTTGTACTGGGTTTCCCCTGCCGCTGTGAAACTGGCGACCCCAGGTCATCAATAAGCATCAATGCTGTTGAAACCTGGCCTACTGAATTGTACTTTGCTTCTCTTACTTGACAGATGATGATGATGTACATGCAGTGACACATTTATTAGGCTACTTGAAAATATATTTCATTAAATTACAATGCATGTGGAACATTATGATATTAGGCAGAAGACTTGGTCCTGAACAGACTGTGTTCTCTATATGTCAGCATAGCATTAGTTTATTAATGTTTATTAAATTAATTGTATTTATATTTATAATCAATAACTGACATTTCTGTTCATCTAAAGGTCACAAAAGAAAATGCATGAACATCAGAGAATCGCTGTATATTGACTAATAGTACTTACTGTCATGTCACGCTGCGGCTCTGAGGCAGGAACTTTCCTTATTTTACTGATTGATACACCTGTGCTCCTCCTGCATGTTTTTACATGTGCTGACAGAGTTTTCACACAGTGTGTATACCTCTGAGGATTTAAACTATATTGAATAAGTGACATTGTCATGGTCCTCCATCTTTGAGTTATGGACCTAAGAGTTCTGATTGTTGTTGACTAATTCCTGCTTGATTCATAGTTAGTATATTGTTATGTTTTTTCAGTTTTGTTTTTAGTAGATATTTTCTAGCTTATTTCTATAGGTTCTGTCTTAGTTTTGTAATCTAGTTTTGCAATTCTGGTTCAGTTCAGCTGTATCTACTTTTCCACTTGTTTTTTAAACATTAAAATAATTCATTTAAATTCTGTCCTATTTATATACCACTAGTTCAGAACAGCAGTCACGTCAAGGAGCTTAATATTGTAAAGAACCTACAGTATTAGAATCAAAACCTCAACAGTCAGATGATCCCCTGTGACCAGCACTTGGTGACTGTGTGAAGGAAGAAAAACAACAACAAAAAAGGGAGAGAAAAGACAAGGGTAATGACATCCTGTAGTGGTGTATAAATGCACGGGGAATGAAAATAATGGGAAAGGAGGAAAAATGCATCATGGGAAGCCTCCAGCAGCCTGACCTCATAACTAAGGAATGAGTCAGTGTCACCTGATCCACCCCTAACTATGACAAAACTCAGATCTGCTTTCAGAAACTGATTTCCAGTCTGTTTTTTAGCCTCAGGAACTCAGGACAGAAGTTCACCCACTACCGTTTTCGTTTTGTAGTTTCTTAAATTTCAGAATAGAAACAGGAAAGCTGGACTTTCTTTTCATGTGTTTGCACAATTGAGCTACAGATAATTCTACACCGGCTCACATTGTTTGTTTAGTATGGAACTCAGATTGATTTAACCTCTTTCTGCGTCCTCAGTTTCCCAGTATGCCTCAGGAGTCGAGGTGTATGAGGGGGAGGAGTCTGTCCTTCTGCTCTGCCAGCTTCCCGTTCCAGCTGAAGAGGGTGTAGTTGTGTGGGGACGCGATGACCTGAATCCTTCAATCATCCATGTTCGCACAGAGGAAGGTGATTATCTTACAGACCAAAATAAACAATACGTCGACAGAACATCCATTCAAAAGGACGCCCTGAAGACCGGAGACCTCAGCCTCACTCTGAGAAAACCTACATTCTCTGACAGTGGACTCTACACCTGCACCGTACGCAAGGTTGGAGAAAAACAGAACCAGACTGAAGTGCAACTAAAGGTCAAAGGTCAGTGCTGTAGATTCCCCTTAGAGAGTGACCAGAGAGAAAAGTGACCATCCAACATTACAAAGATGAAAGGCTTTCAGGAACGGTCAACATAACCAGAGAAGATCAAAGGCTACGTTCACACTGCAGGTCTTAATGCTCAAGTCCAATTTTTTGATGAAATCCGATTTTTTTGTCTGGTTGTTTACACTACAAATAAAATGTTACAGCAAACGCGCTCTAGTGTGAACCATTCACGGTCCTCAAAGCGCAAAAGAAGATGTCACACACAACGCGCTCTGTTTAGACCCAGACCAAACAGTATTGTTTGACTGATGGCACTTAATATAAAGACTTGTTTCGGACTTTACGTTTCCCAATTTTGCCTTAAGTAATGAAGTTATTTTGTTATTTACATATGGCCTAATAATTATCCTTATTGCTGTTTTAGAGAGGAGCGGTGCTTCAAAGGATAGTTGCAGATTTCTGTCAGAATCTGCAGATTAAATAGCCAGGCGCTGATAATTGGCGTCTGTCTTGTGTCAGTTATGTAAAAGGCGGATTTAATGCGACATGACCATTCAAACAGCAGTCGCTTTCTAAAACATCAGATATGTATCGGATTCAGTACCACATACGAAAGTGACCCAGATCGGATTTGAAAATATCGGATTTGTGCTGTTTAAACTGTCATACCATGATCGGATATGGGTCGCATGGGGTCTGAAAAGTCTAATTTGATGCGCTTTCGCCTGCAGTGTGAACGTAGCCAAGGTCAGACTTCTGTTTAAAAAGGATAACATATAAAAACAATCAAAATAAGATTTAAAAATCTTAAATCCATTTGAAGCAGAGGTCATACTAGAATTCATTTCAATTAGCATGGTTATTATCAGTGAATTCATATTAATTATTAATGAATTCTTCAAAACATTCAGCATCATGTTCAGGTTGTGTTTGTGTTCATTACAGAGCGTCCTCCTCCTCCTCCAATCTGGCCCAAAGTTCTCCCAGCGGTCCTGGTTCCGGTGCTTGTCCTGGCTATTGGCATTAGTATTTTCATGTGTCTTGTATATCAAAGGATGAAGAAAACAGCAGGTGGGTGTAATAGTGTGTGAGTGGGTGGGTGGCCCTTTATAGATCACCATAGTAACAAATGCTGAATACCTGGCCTGCTCCTAAAGGAGCGGTGCTTACAGTTTCAGTTTTACATTTGATGTCACTGAGCAAAGTTTCTACAGAAGCCCCAACTACTACATGTTCTGACTGGATATAAAAAAATAAGATGAAATGTTTTCTATTTTCCCCAGAAATCCGTTTGGAAAATTATTATTGATAACTTGACAGAGTAAACCTATAACACACCTGTCTCTGTTGGACAGGTGTGTTATAAAAATGTGTGGTATGAATCTGTATCTGTCCTTCTGGCAGCAGAGCTGAATCAGCCTGAGCAGCATTCCTTCTGCCTGTCCAGCAGTGGTGTGTGGTGACACTTATAGGAAGACTGCCAGAAATGATGCTTTCTGCACTTCTTCTTGGCTGCAGAATTGTAAAATGTTATTACCTTTATAGTTGTCATGTAATTATTTATTTAATTTTGATTTATTTAAAACCATTTCTAGCAATAAAACACCATGAAAACACCCCAATACACATAAAATTGTATAAAAAGGACATCAATTATCAAAAGTAAATGTACTATGGCTTAAACTCTGTACATCGTGGAAATAAGTGATTCCTAATAGATGTTTTTTCGAAAGCTGGAGCCTGCATCTGTTCAACTTACCAGTTTTATTAAGCAGTGTTGCCGAGATGGTAACAGAGAAGTGAAAGAGCCAGGTTGCCTCAAACACTTCTCCTCCATCAGGCTCCCCGCAAAGACCCAAAACATGCGTGTGCAATCAACCAGAAAAAAGCTACTGACCTCTCAGTGCCATTAAATCACATTTCTCTCAATGAAGACCCCAATGCAGGATTTAAACCTCATGTCAAAAGAACAAAAAGAAAGGTATTGTAACCTTTATTAAAGTCAAATTCAAAAAGCATTGAAATCCAAAAAGCCAAAAGAAGTCCAAAAGAACACGAGGGTAAAAAAAACAATGAACAAAACAAGGATTAGAAACCCGAGGAGGACAATACAGAAACTGTGACAAAAGACAAAGGTATGCTGGAGCTATGTATACATACAGATACAATGAGGACTAAATAGGGTAGAGTGGAAACTCCTGAGTGGAGTTTGTATATTCTTGTTGTGCTATCTGAGTTCTCTGTGTGGATATTCCTGGCATCTCAAACCTGCCAAATGAAAAATTAAAGGCAACCCCTTGTGAGTGAGAGAATATCCAGAAGTAGCTTCGTCTCATTTCTAATGTTTTTAAATTAGTGTTGATGTCTTGTGCAGTTTCCTCTTTATATACCTCTGTGAAACCTCTCAATTATCTTTTATCTGAATAGTGGAACACAGAATAACTTGACTTAATGACAATTATTCCTCAATCAGTCTCCAAAAGTTGATTCTGTTCATCTGGACGTAGCATATTGTGGGGGAAACGTTTTGTCACTCATCCAAATGACTTCTTCAGTCTCAGCTGACTGCAGGTTTCCCCAGTCTTATAAACAGTACATTTGCATAATGACTGAAACTAGCCCACTGAAGGAACAATGGGCTGGGAGGTCAGTTCTTTAATCATAACCATGTAAATTCTCATGACTTGCAGCCATTCCCCAACTCTCTGTGAATGGTACTCATGGCCATTGATCAGTGGCTTTTGGTCAGTGGTTGTTGATCAATGGTCATTATGCAAATGTACTGTTTATAAGATTGGGGAAACCTGCAGTCAGCTGAGACTGAAGAAGTCACTCGGATGAGTGACGAAACGTTTCCCCCACAATATGCTACGTCCAGATGAACAGAATCAACTTTTGAAGATTTACTTTCCTGGATGATTGAAAATGCATCAAGACATTTCTCAATCCGATTTTTAAAAACATTTTGAACACTGATTTTTGTCTCAACTATACTTCAAATGTTTGTTTTTAATGTGATTTACAGTTTCTGTTTGGCACAGCTCATGTTCTGCTCTGTTCCCTCAGTCTGCCAGCTCAAAGTTGTTGATGTGACAGAGGGAGCAGATTCTGTCCTGCTACCCTTCATATCCAAAAAACTGAGGAATACGGAGACCGCCAAAGTGGAGTGGAAGCATATCCAAGAAGACGAAATGAAGGTTGTGTATGAGAAGGATCGGAAAAGTCAAGGCGTACCTTACACAGACCGCACAGAGATGAGGAAAGATCCATGGAACACAGGAAACGCCAGCCTAACTTTGTTAGGTCCTCGCTCTGAAGATGGAGGTGTTTACATATGCACCATGTATGACACGTATGGAAAGGCCCTGAAACAGAAAGTAGTGGCACTCTGGGTCAAAGGTCAGTATTAGAGGATGTGAGCTTGAAAGATCCTGATGATGTCTTAGTGTGTTAACTTGCTTTGTTTCAAAGAAACATCTACAGTCACATTTAAGCATATTACTAAGTTGTTTGTGAAGGTCTGTCTTCACATAAAAAAAACTCTGAAGAACTGATGAGTTATACAGTAAATGAAAAGCAGTGTGAGAGACAGAAGAATGCAGGCTATCACGAATCTTAGAACCTGTGTAGTAAACTACAAAAGTGCAAAGTGACAGCAGTTGTGAGCTGTGTTGATGCAACAGGCAGTTACATTTGTAGGGAAGAGCACATCAGGTTACAGAATGGGTTACCTCATAGCATTTCAGAATGGTTTGCAGTTGCAATTGTGCAGATTTCCCACTGAAGCATTAATCTCCAGTAACAGTCATGAAGTGGGAAGAGTTTGTTTTTTTTGCAGATGAAATCATAGAGAATAAAACTACAGTCCTAAGTAATAACTATATTTAGTACAAAGTAATTGTTTTCAGCAAAGATGTTTTCAGGAAACAGGAAAAACAGCTCTGAATGTGAGTGTTTATTATCCTCTGTCCTTCATACTAACTACACACAGTCACGTGATCTTGGTCTTGGTCAGGACTCTGATCTGACCTGATGCTGTGTTTCTCCTTTACAGAGGGCTGGCTGAAAACCATCAGAAGCTTCTTCCCGTGTGCCAGACAGAACAGACAGAATTATGTCATCTGAATGAAAAGGCAAAGGTGAATCTGTTCACTGTTCAGTCAATGTGATTCATCTCTTCTTGATGAAGCTTTTCCAAATGAAACTCACAGTAATAAGGTCATTACCAAATGAAAAGTCACATTGACAAATATGTAAAACTACTGTGTGTTTGTGAGCTCTCAGATGTCTGTTTCAGTCAGTTTGAACACTTGACACATGCACTCAGCACAACCTGAACTAATATTCAGATCGTCTGTGCACAATTTAAACTAAAGTTCTGCATAGAGAGGTGAGAGCAGTAAAGTGTTTTTTAGTACATTTTTAAATAAAATTTAAGATTTATTTCATTTATTTGGGAATAAAATAGAAAAATTCTAAAAATGTTAACTATCTAACATTTACAAAGGTAAACAGTTACTTTGATGACAGATGTCTGTACTAATTGATACTGTAGTATTTAACTATTTTAACTTTGATTTCAA